GAATGAAAGCGAAATAAGTGAAAAATCAGTTAAATAGTGTAGTCTGTAGAATGAAAGCGAAATAAGTGAAAAATCAGTTAAATAGTGTAGTCTGTAGAATGAGAAGCGAAATAAGAGAAAAATCAGTTAAATAGTGTAGTCTGTAGAATGAAACGAAATAAGAGAAAAATCAATAACATCGATCTGGGATGGCAATCAAATATTTTTCCTGTTTAGATTTATAATAACGGTAAAAAAAGAAATATATTTTTTTTTAGTTTATATGTAAATTACGTTAAAACTAATATCGACGTTTTTCTTAAATTTTATCTTAGTAACTCTTAGTAATGAAATACTGACGAAACAATTTCGTTTACTTGGGGTTTATTTATTTTTAACTAACTTATCGTCCAAACTTATGGACAGCCATTAGTTGCAGTAGTCATAAGGATAATCACAGAATTCTTTTGCTAGAGCTGTAGAAAACGGAAGCGTTTAAACTTATCACACATATTAACTTGTACAGTAGCTGACTCAGACGAGAGCAGAGTATTAAGAATATTACTGTAGTGATAACGCACGTCACGGGCCATTAACTGCTACGAACAAACTCAGTATCAAAATGTGACGTGATGATTTTATTAAACCTGTTTTTGAAGTATATAACTGATCCTCCGACTTTTAAGTTTAACATTATTTGTCTGCCAAGATATGTTGATCTATTTTGATGGTGTAAACTGAGATCTTATGAAACTAATTATAACTGATCTATTTGCTAATCAGCAAGAAAAATTAACAACCTCTTTCCCACGTGACAAAATCGATCGGATATCCACCTGTCGGACAGGCCACATTCAGGTTCTCCCCAGCAACAACGGTCAAGTTCTTCATGGAACGGATGTAGGGCGGACCTGGAACTATCAACCGGCCACTGTGACGTATCAGTCCAGCTGAGTTACTAGCCTGGCATACGTAATTTCCGCCATGTTGAGCTTTAGTGTTTGAGATGTTCATGAAACTGACGACAGTGTTCTCTCGAATGACGTAATCACCAAAACGGAAGCCGAAGTTTTCAGGAACTGGAAAGCCATCCAATGTCCACGAAATTTGTGGCAGAGGGCTTCCGGAAGCCACGCACTTCAGCGACATTGGTTTCCCTGGGATACCGGCTTGTGCCTCAAACTTCTCCAGGAAAACTGGGGGGTTATCTGAAAACAATTAAAATCCAGTATTCTGTTGTTGTTGTTTTTTTACACTGGAACTGAGGAAAATATATTCTTAAAAGTAGGCTTTCAACAAATGAAAAAATAATGGTAACTCTCTCGGTACAATAATGTAGTAATTCTATCGGTACAATAATATGGTAATTCTATTGGTATAATAATGTAGTAATTCTATCGGTACAATAATATGGTAATTCTA